TCAAGGAATGATGGAGTCTCCAGGGAAAAGGGCAGCAAAAGCCAAGGGATGACAGGACATTACCAGACAATAAAGAGATAAGGGCTGGGACCCAGATTTCACTCTGGGCACAGAGCCTTTAAGATAGAGTGAGTTTACCAAGAACTACCCAATCACAGAGACTGACATGGCTTTAGTGTAACTAGGGAAAGAAGGTCTATATTCCTTGAGGCCACTGCTCAGCTGCCTCTTCCCGGCCCCTCTCTGGCCTGGTTCCATTCCCAGTTCGTTTCCTTCCTTTTCTACTTACTAAACTTTTCCTTATATCTACTTCTCTAAACAGACTTACTTCCTTTCTCTTACTTGCCTGAGAGTCAGAGAAGTTCCTGCTGCGGCTTGGTGAGACACCAACCCACAGTGGCCTCGTGGCCAGGACTCAGCACTCTACTGCAACCTGGACTCCGTCCTGAAAACCTGAAATGAAGGGAATAAATAAACTGGTAGTTTTGTAGCTATCCATTTGTATGTTGAAGAAATCCCCTTTCCTGGACTTAGGGTATAAGGATTTCTGAGAAAAAGAACTGACGTCTGTTGGGCTCCACATGACAGAACAGGAACAAGGAGGAAGCTACAGAAAGACTGATTTTGGCTCAGAACAGGAAGTCCTCTGACTCCAATCCTACCCTTACAGCAGGACATTTTCACAACACACTGGTCATCCCAATTTATTGTGTCTTGGGGAAGTGGAGCCTTTCTCCTCTTGGTCGCCTTTCCACACCTTGCCTCACTTCCTTCCCTGGGCCACATTTTCAGCTTTGTTTTTGTCAGCGCGACTTGGTCAATCTTTGGGTTACAGTTGTTCTGCCCATCCCCAAGTTTGAATATCTGAGTCCTGCCCTCAGCTGCCAAACAAAACCCCACATGACTTGTGCTTGGAACCATGATACATATTTCAACCTCATTAGGCAAATCTTTTTATTTGTCCTTAGCAAAGTAAAGTGTACATCAGTATTTGCTCACTTAACCCAAGGCAGTAGTAAAGTCCTCAGTCTGCTCCTCTCATTCAGTCAATTATTTAGTAAAGGTTTACGGAGACCTGCCATGTGCTGGGCACTGTCTTAGAGACTGGAGATCCAAAACTGAACAAGATCAACAGTTGTCGATCTCAGGGAACTTTTGACACAGCACTAAAGAAACAGAAATTAATTTTTAAAAGATCTCTTTGTTTATGCATACAAAGCTGGGGTACAGGTCAGAGGTGGTGGGGGGTGAGAGGATTCACCAGAGACAGAGTGGGGAGTAGAACAGACAGATTGATGATGTACACTGCTGAGGGGAGCAGTAGGTGGGTCAGGAGAGGTCTGCTGAGCCATGTGGGTCAGCTCCTTGGCTGGGGGTAGAATTCATGCTTATAGCTTATTAGTGCTATGAGTTAACCTATTGCACCACAAGGGAGGGCCAAAAATCTAATTAAGATCAGTGCTGTGAAGAAACCAAGTGTTGAGATCAGGATGATGAGGCAGGAGGTGCTTTATCAGACAGGGGGATGATGCACAGTTGAATCCTGAACAATGAGAAGATGCTTGTCAGAGGAAGATCTGTATTTAGAGTTTCAATTTCATAGAAATTGCACAAATTCCTATTATACCATTACCCACTACCATCTTGGTACACAGATACAGTACCTTCCAGTCTAGGATAGTAAACCAACTATTTTTATACTTGCACTAAGATCAATCCCTCCACCAGTGAATTAGCTACTAGTCCTTTTACCCAGTTAATGATATTCTTCCAGCAGGACACCCTTCTTTCTCCTGAGTCATTATTTCCACTCTTTATTTTATTATTTTTCAAAGATTTATTTATTTATGCATACAAGAACTGAGGTGTAGGCTAAAGGTGTGTGTGTGTGTGGAGAGGGGAGACAGAGTGGGGAGCAGAACAGGTTGATCTACTAAAATACACTGCTGAGGGGAGCAGTGGGCGAGACAGGAGAGATCTGCTGCGCCATGTGGGTCAGTCACCTCCCTGGCAGGGGACCTAACTTATGCTTATGCCACTTGGTGATAGCTTGATAGCACTGAGAATTTAACACCTCTGCCACCAGAAAGTCGCTATTCTTTATTAAATTGTTCCTATTGCTTATAACTATGCTTTCTCTCCTCTTAAGAACTAATAAACGGGCCTCCCTGGTGGCACAAGGGGTTAAGTCTTAGCACTATGAAGCTATTGGCAGCCACTGCAGCAGGAGTTCAATCCCTGACCAGGGAGGTAACCCACACAACATGGTAGATCTCTCCTGCCATGTCCACTGCTCCCCTCAGCAGTGCATTTCAGTCAATTTGCCTGTTGTGCTCCCCACTCTGGTGAATCCTCTCACCACCCTTGCACGTCTGGCCTATACCCCAGTTCTGTATGTATATAAATATATTTTTTTTTAAAGTAGAAACAACCCAAATGTACACTGACAGATAAATGAATAAGCAATACTAGGCACATATGTATACTGGATGTTATTCAACCTAAAAAGAAAATTCCGACACACACTACTACATGGATGAAATTGGAGCATATCATGTTAATGTTATAAACCTGTGACAAGAAAGCAAATGACAGTATGATTCCAGTTATGTAAGGTACCTAGAGCAGTCAAATTCATAGAGAATGCAGATGGTGTTTGTCAAAAGCTGGCAGGGAGGAGAACTGGAAGTTGTGGTTTGATAGATACAGAATGCAGAGTTTTAATTTTGCAAGATGAAAAATTCTTGAGAGGTATGGTGGAAATGGTTGCAGAACATAAATGTACCAAATACCACTTAAGAATGTTTAAGTGGTTAAGATTGTAAACGTTCTGGTATATACTTTTAACAGTTTAAATTTTAGAGAAATAAAAACAAAAGGCACTTTCTTGACCTCACTTCCCCATTTTCTTGTTCTTTTTGAAGCAAAGCTCCTGGAAAGAGATGTCCACACTTGCTTTCTATGATTCCTCTCCTCCAATCTGCAAAATATTTCAATTAGGGCCTCCCGGTTGGCATAAGGGTTTAAGTTCCATCACTCTGAAGCTATTAGCAGCCACCGCAGCACAATTCTATCCACGGCCAGGGAGGTGACCCACATGGAGCGGCAGACCTCTCCTGAGCCGCCTACTGCTCCCCTCAGCAGTGTTCTTCTTTGATTTGCCTGTTCTGCTCCCCACTGTCTCTGGTGAATCTTCTCACCGCCCTGCACTTCTGGCCTGTACCCCAGATCTGTATGCATAAATAAGTAAATCTTTAAAAAAAAAAAAAAAAAGGAAGAGGTTCTTAGAAGAAACATTTCTCTCTTTTTTATATAAGTATATTTATTCATGCATACAAGAACTAAGGTACAGGACAGAAGTATGGGGAGTGAGAGGATTCACCAGAGACAGAATGGGGAGCAGAACAGGCAGACCTGGCTGAAATACACTGCTGAGGGGAGCAGCAGGAGAGACAGGAGAGGTCTGTGTGCCATGTGGGTCACCTCCCTGACTGGGGATAGAACTCATGCTGCCGTGGTTGCTGATAGCTTCATAGTGTTGCGCTATAACTCCTTGTGCCACTAGTGAGGGCCCAAAACAACATCTCTCTCTTTTTTTATTTTTTAAAGATTTATTTCTTTATTATACAGAACTGGGGTACAGGCCAGAGATGCAGAGGGCGAGAGGATTCACCAGAGACAGGGTGGGAAGTAGAACAGGCAGATGGACGAAGTACACTGCTGAGGGGAGCAGTGGGCGGGTCAGGAGAGGTCTGCCACGCCATGTGGATCTCCTCCAGGGCAGGCGGGAATAGAACTCATGCGGAAGTGGCTTAAGCTTCTTAGTGCTGTGCTTTAACCCGGTGTGCCACCAGGGAGGGCCCAACTGTTGGTGGCGCGGTTGCACCCAGCTCTTGGGACTCCCGAGGAATGCGCCCACCGCTGTGCTACCATGGCAACAGATGGTTGAACCGATAAGGTGGACGCAGATTTGTGGTCATCCTATTTAACAGCCCGAGGCACCATAAAGGGAGTGCCGACACTTGCGCCATGGCATCTGGCAGTTGCTGGCGAGGTGTGATAAGAGAAATTCCTCACTTCCCCCATACCTCCTTCTCAGTAAAATTCCACTCTTCTCCTCCAAACTTCTACCCTTGCTGCCTAATGATATATAAAGGGGGGTCACAGAAAATAGAGAGACTCCTGGATGAAGAACCTCAGCGTCCTGTGTTTTCTTTAACCTCATCGTCCCTCGCCGGACTCGGCTCCGATCAGCCGGACGCGGCACCCAACAACATCTCTTGATTAATGTCCTGGGTCCCAGAGACAATGTGGTTCGGAGGTCACATCCTTTTAATTACTATGGGAAGAGTCTTTCCTATTCGATGACACTGTGAAAGTGTGTGTCAGAGAGGCTTTATACTATAGGAGAGAAGCTCTGAAATAATGCAACTCAGAGATTATATAGGACAGGGTGGCACTGCTGTCTTCCTCCCAGGAAGGTGGTGGCAGGGCAGGAGGAGAACAAGCACTTGGCTCTGGGTGATATCACCTGTGAAAGACAGGAACTGACTCTTGGATTATGCACCAGGAGGAGTCATTCCCCTCGGGCATGTTTACCATTCAAGCATCCTTTAGCCCAGAGCCATTAATTGGCTCTGTCCCAGTTGCACAGAAACCCATTGTTTTGCCTCACAATCCCAGAGAGGCAGTTTCTCTGCCCCTTTTGCCACTGCAGTTCTTTCTTCCATTAAAGTTATGGTTTTAGGGAGTTAGGATGAAAAAAAAAGTCTAAATACAATGAATTCCCCATTCGGCACTCTGCCCAACACAAAGGAGATACCCAGTAAATATCTGTTGAGTGAACAACATGGATGTCGTTTAACATTTTATTATTTAAAAAAGATCCATTTTTAATTATTTATGCATACAAAAGCTGGGGTATAGGCCAGAGGTGCAGGAGTTGGTGAGAGGATTCTCCAGAGACAGAGTAGAGAGAGAACAAGAGTGTCTACTGAGATACACTGCTGAGGGGAGCAGCAGGCGGGACAGGAGAGGTCTGCTGTGCCCCGCGGGTCAGCTCCCTGGCGGGGGTTGACTTAACTTGATGGGTTGGTGGCACAGACATTTTTTATATATAATATAATAGTTTGTTTTTACATCATTCCCCCCCCCCCCATCTCAATTGTAATCCCCGTGGGTTTCCCATCACCGAGATAGCACTGACACTTTTAACCCCACGGAGGCCCTCCTTTAACTTTTGAATAAAGATGGGACAAAAGGTTGGTTGGTTGATGAAGTAAAGCAGTTTAGCTTACTTGGCAATTCTGGGCCTCAAGCTGATAAGGAGGCGCCCGTGACCTTGACTAAGGTCTGGCTGTCTCCATCCCCGTACATGGGCACAGACCCAAAACCCCCAGCTTATAGGTTCTTTTTGTAAATAATTTTTGATACTTCCCACCCGCCTAGCCGGGGCCTGGCCAATGGGCGCAAGCCACGGTACCCCCCTTTGTTACAGTATATAAGCTTGATGTTGAAAATAAAGACAGGGACTTTCCTGGTGAACAGACTCACGGTGTCCGTCCTTTTTTCCTTTCAGTTGAGACATTCTGACGAGGCTTGTCCAGAGTCAGAACACCGAGTCAACTCATTCTTCTTGATTGTGCCTTAGAAGAAGACCCTCCCCGCAGGTAGCAGCGCCAGAGCTCCTGACAACCCTGCGGTCAGGGCCCAGCGCACACCGGCTGAGACCTTGGCTGAGTTCTTTAGGTCTTCTTGCTGTGTGAGGGCTTCAGGATCCAGATAGGGATTCCCGTCCAGTAGCAGGTTACTCACCTTGGGCAGTTCGCGCTGGCTGGGCGCGCGGTTCAGCCTATTGCAGCGGAGATCCAGCACGCTGAGCTGGGCCGGCAGTCCCTTGGGCACCTGCTCCAGCCCGGCGAAGGAGAGGTTGAGAGAGGTCAGAGTGCTGGGCCAGGTGCACGCGGGAGCGGCCGGGACCGTGGTCCGCAGCGCGTTGTGGCTGAGGTCTAGGTGCTGAGGTTGCACACCCGCCGCCGCTAGCGCTGTGCACACGCCGCTGGGCGTCTCCAGGCCCGCGTTGCGCAGGCCTAGGTCCTGGAGCGCCGGGAACTTGTGCGGACACAGAGTCTCAATCAGTCCTCGTTCCCCCAGTCCAGGACTGTCAGACAGATCTAGGTTGGTGAGGGTCGGGAAGGCGCCGAGCTGTGCGCAGGAGAAGGCGGGCGAGTGTGCTTGTGCAATGCGCAGTACCTTGAGGCCCGGCTTGAGCCACTGCTGCAGGTGCGCGAGCCAGTCACCCCCGGGCGCCCACGATACGTTTCGCAGACGGAGGGTGGAGAGCGCTGGCCCACGGTTTTCCAGAACCGGCGGTGGCAGGTTCCCGGTTATCTCCAGGTCCTCCAGCGTCAGTTCCTGGAGGCGGGAGAACCCGAGCGCACGCAGGACCCTGACCATGATCAGACCAGGAACCCGCGCGGCGCCCACCGTGAGCCGCCGCAAGCGCAGCGCCCTGAGCGTGTTCACATACTGCTGCGGGTCGATGTCGGCGTGCTTCAGGAATTCTTTCAGGTCGCGGCCACCGCCACGGATCTCCACCTCGGACGCACCCAGACACTGGAGAGCGCTGGACCATTCGGGGTCCGGGCCCGTGAAGTTGCAGAAGCAGCGGACAATATCATCATCTACTTCGCAGGGCTCCGGTGTGGCCTCAGGTGTGGGCTCAGAGGCGTGCAGCAGTCCGGGGGGCAGCAGCAGCAGCAGCAGCAGGTGGATACCAGGCGCCTGGGGAGACAGAGGAGGTCAGGTTGATCCCAGACTCTCTCTGGGGTTCTTTTACTAACCTCCTGAGCCCCAAGGCCACACACTCACCATGATCATCAGGTCCTCAGACCCTCTGCTTCCAGGTGAGCTCAGCGGAGGGGTTGGCTTTTTTTTTTACACGGCAGAGCTTGCTGGCTTCCAGGCTTCACACAAGTGTCTGACTCTTTGGCAGCATCTGAGAGTTTATGTAATTCTGGGATGTCACTGTTGCCTTCTGTGTGAACCCGGGTCACTCCCCACTTCTCTTCCTCTTTTGCTCTCTTTCAGGGAAATTTTGCAACGGAGCACTTTGCCTGGAGAGGGGTGGTTAACAAGAATAATGCTTGGGTTCAGCCCCTGCCCTAGGCAGTGCCCCGATGAGCACTGCCCTCTGGTGGGTGTGATCAGCGCCTCTGGCCAAGACCTTGCATTCCCTGCCAAGATTTCTTGGACTCAACCCTGTTAGCTTCCTTGACTTTTCCCTAGTTCATGGTAGTTACTGTTAACCTATTACTACCCTAGCCCTAAACAACCTCAGGTATTTAAGTGATAATTTTGTGGGGAAGATTTCGAATTTCATCTACTTTCCTCAATTTTGACAGTTTCAAGGGAAGGAAGCTGATCTGGAAGATAAATCCCCTCCCCCCCCTTTTTTTTTATTATTTGCTGATTGTTGTTTAAATTTACAGAAAAAATAACTTTCTTCAAAATAGAGGTGTTTACCGGTGAGAATGGCACATCTTCAAGCAACTAGCAACAACAAATATTGGCGAGGATATGGAGAAAAAGGAACACTCCTGCATTGCTCGTGGGAATACAAATGAGTACAACCACTTTGGAAAACTGTTTGGAGGTTTCTCAAACTGCTAAAAATGGAGCTTCCATACGACCCAGCAATCCCACTCCTAGGTATCTACCCAAAAGACATAAAAACACTGATTCAAAAAGATACCTGCACCCCCGTGTTTATTGCTACTTTATTTACAATTGGAAAGACATGAAAGCAACCCAAATGCCCAAAAGCAGATGACTGAGTTAAAAAGATGTGGTATATATTACTCTTGCAATCAAAAAAGATAAACACATGCCTTTTGCAGCAACATGGATGGAGCCGGAAAAGATCATGCTTAGTGAAAAAGCCAGAAAGAAAAGGAAAAATACCCATATGGTTTCACTAATAGCAGGAGTATAAAAGACCAGGCGAGAAAATAATAATAATGAACAACTATATACCAGAAACATTTTATGGGGGTGGAGTGAGGAATGGGATCAAAAACAGTTGGGGGAGGGAAGTGCACTGGACTATGGTGATGGCACACGGGTGATTTGGTGATGGGAAGCCCACAGGGATTACAACTGAGATGGGAAAAGGCACAAAATGTAAAAACAAACTATTATATTTTTAAAAAAAATAGAGGTGTTTAACAGAGACACAGTGACTAAGTTGCTCCAACTCACAGTTTCCATTCTTCATGGTGCCCTTGAGAAGCAGGGTGTTTCTAAATCTGTCTTCTCTGCACACACTGTTCTTATCTCAGGCACAATTCCTGTATCCTAGGAAGGAGAGACAACACCTAGGACAATTTCTGTAGTAACTTATCTGTTTGCCAAGCAATTAGAGCAAATGCCCCTGGAACTTCCCCTTTCCCAGTAGGTGGAGGAGTTGAACTTCAACAACAGACTTTACAGTGCTCCATCTCTGGGCTTCTGGAGAAAGTACGACATGAGAAACATTTGAGTTTTCACTTCCCCTATTTTCCAGAAGATGTTGCATCTGTTCACAACCCACATGTGCTTTCATCAGCCCACACTGCTCTCCTGTGTGCTTTTTTGGGCATGCCCAGAGGCCAGGGCTGCTCCTGGAGCATCCCTGGAGATCAAAGTGTGAGTATAGCTCAGTGTTAACACACTGACTTTGCAGCTGGTAACCAGGTATGGAACCCCAGTTCTACACTGCGGTCATGAGACACAGGCAGGTATGGAAGCTTCTGATTTCTGGGCTCCTACTTTCTAAAATGGAGATATTGAGAATACATGTCTCTGACTAGACTTGTAGTGTTATCTTCTTTCTCAGAGGCTCTGCATCCCAATGATTCAGGCCACGGAAGAATCTGTCTGGCCCCTCAGCTCATCCCATTCTAACAGGAGGATCCCCAGGAAAAGGGAAGTTCCAGGGTCTCTGCCCTAAAGGAGAAAGGGTGGAGCTGAGCGGGGTGGAGGGGAAGCTGGAGAGAAAACTGAAAAGGAAGGAAGAAGGATGAAAAGCAAGAAAGGAGACCTGGAAGAGGTAAAGAGATTTACACATGGACCTGAAGAAGCTGTGGTTGTTTCTCAGCCCTGGGCTTGTACCCAGGACTTGGGGGCCATGGAAGTGAGAGGAACTGAGACCAAGAATGACTTGGAGAACAGAAAAGGCTGAGACACGGGACAGTGATTTTAAACAATATAGAAATAGAAGGAACAAAACAGGTCCCAGGAAAATAGAAGTGTTTTTACTGAAATGTTGCTGAGCTAGCCACTATCTAGAGTAAGATCCAGTTACAGGATAATTAGGGAGCAGAAAAACAACCACAATGACTGCTGAGGGGAGCAGCGGGCAAGTCAGGAGAGGTCTGCTGCACTGTGTGGGTCAGCTCCCTGGGCAGGATCGAACTCATGCTGAAGCGACTGTGGCCAGCTTCCTAATGCTGCGCTTTAACGCCTTGTGCCACCAGGAAGGGCCCCTAAAGAAATAATTCTTAAAAAGAAAGAAAGAAAGAAAGAAGGGGCCCCAATACAGGCTGTATTCTCATTCATGACCTGATGTATAGCAGCTGCTCAATAAATGGTCAATAAATGGCTCACCAGGGGCTGGCTGGCTGGTGGATCCCAAGAGATGTACAGAACAAGATGATGTCTTCAGATATTTAACTAAATGTTTTCTGGAAGAGATTGAAGACTTCAATGGCTGACTTTTAAAAAAGATTTACTAATGCATACAAGAACTGGGGTGCAAGCCAGATGTGGGGTGGTTGAGAGGATTCACCATAGAAAGTGGGGAGCAGAACAGGCAGATCTACTGAAATACACTGCTGAGGGGAGCAGTGGGTGAGATAGGAGAGGTCTGCTGTGCCATGTAGGTCAGCTCCATATGGGTCAGCTCCCTGGCTGGCTGGGATGGAATTTGTGCTACAGTGGCTGTCAATAGCTTCATAGCACTGTCTTTAACCCCTGACTGCAAGGGAGGATCCTTCATTGATTGATTTAAAGAAGAAGAATTGATTTCTAGAATCCTTCCTATTTTTACAAGGTAGATTGAGGGACACCCCAGAACCCCCAAATCTGCCTATTCTAAATAGGTTCTGCCATCAACTGCATCAAAACAAAACATACTCTAGTGCATTAGACCTTTTTTAATATATATACATATATATATATTTTTTTACATCCTTCATTTTGTACAATTTTTAATCTCAGCATAAGACCTTTAATGAAAAGGAACTTTAATAAAATTAGTGTGTAAAAAAGACAAGACAAAGAATAAAGCTTTAAAAAATAAAAAAAAAGAATAGAACTTTGAAATCAAGCACCCAACGTTCCCATCCTCTCATGGACAAATGCCCAGTCAAACATGGTGGTCCAAAGTAGGGCCAGTGAGGCCCAAAACCTTGCCACAAGTCTAAGGCACCTCTGGCAGGGGGACTCATACAGGAAAGGTGCAGAAGGGCTCAGGCAAGTGTGAGGGGAAAAGAGCAAAATCAAAAATCAGGATAGACATTGTCTTTGTTAACCTTCCCATGAGTCTCTTACCCATGTTTCTTTCAGGTGTCTCCTTCTATGTCCCCAAGTCCTTGGTGCAAGTCCAAGGTTGAGAAGCAAGTACAGCTTCTGCACATGTGTCTCTGGCCCATTTGCCTCCTCCAGTCTCCTTCTGTTCTCCATCCTTCTTCCTTTCTTCACCCACTCCCCTCTCCAGCTTTCCCTTCTACCTGCACAGCTCCAACCTTCCTTGGTTAGGGCAGGGAACCTGGAATCTCCCCTTTCCCTGGGGATCCCCCGATTACTCTGACCTGTAAAGTCCACTATGATTTAACTTTTACCTACCTTTCATCCTATCAGTTTACTCATTTCATCCTCTGTCTGCTTTTCAGTTCCTGGAGTAATATACTAGGCTCTTTCCTGTCTCATTTGCTACATCTCACAAGAATCACTTCTGCTATTCGGCAGCCTGTTTGCAGATATCAATCATATTGACTAATTATTTGCGTGCTTGTTTATTATTGTTCTCCAACTAGATTTTAAATCTTTTTCTTGGGCCCTCCCTGGTGGCACGATGGGTTGAAGCACAGCACTACAAAGCTGGTCTCACAGCAGCTTCAGCATGAGTTCGATCCCCGGCCAGGGAGATCCCCACATGGTGCAGCAGACTTCACTTGTACTGACCAATGATTTCCTCAGCAGTGTTTCAGTAAATCTGCCTTTTCTGTTCCCCATTCTGTCTCACCCCTTGCACCTCAGTTAGCAGATTAAAGAACAGCACTAAGAAGCGAAAGCCCTTTCAGCATGTGCTCGATCTCTGCCCCAGAGGTGACCACACGGAGTGGCAGACCTCTCCTGACCCGCCTGCTGCTCCCCTCAGCAGTGTACTTTATCGATCTGCCTGTTCTGGTCCCCACTCTGTCTCTGGTGAAGCTTCTCACTACCTCTGCACCTCTGGCCTGTACCCCAGTTCTGTATGCATAAATAAATAAATCAATCTTTTTAAAAAATCGTATGAAATACCCACGCCGCCAAGGAAACAATGGAGTCACATTGTCTCATCTAGGAAGGTTTATTGGAATGAAGTCCAAGGGGAGGTTTTGCAGCCCAAGGGAGGGTCTGGTAGAAGTTGCACTCTTGAGGAGGTTTGGGCAGGAGTTGTAGGGCTTAGGTTAGGCATCTGACAAGTGCCTTGGTAGCTAGGTGTAAGGATTCTTTAGTTACAAGCAAGACGTGGGTTAGCTTGAGTTAACTGGAACCCAGACTTGTACTGTTGAGCTGCAAGCAGTTAGCAGAAACTGCAGGTGGCCAATTTCTGATCTGAGTGGGACCTTACACTGAGGAGAAAAGGAACAGAAATAAAGTGGGACTCCCAGGATGGCGGAATCTGGCTACGGAGGGGCAAGCCCAAGAGGAATCGTGCCTTCCCTAATTCTAAAGGTGCACCAGTCTCTTTGTGATTGGCTAGTTCTCAGTGGTCTCACTCACTGTCTTAACGGCTCTGTGCCCAGAACAAAATCTCTGTGTCCAAGCCCTTATTTTAGAGTCCTTTTTCTTTATTGTCAGTATTCTGAGGTCCTGTTGCCCCTAGTCCTGGGGTGTTTGATTAGTCCCCTTTGGAATTTGTTACCCTCATCTCTGGAGCCTTCCTTACTCTTCTGAATAACTGAAGCTGCCTAATTATTCCTAAATTGCCTTAGGACTCAGAAGGTCTATGCAAAACCTAGGGGTGGGGGTTTGGGGGGAGGGGAAGAACTGATCTTGTTTAGGTAACTAAGAGAAGATACCAGGAGAGATGAATAGGTGGCAACCTTATAGCAATACAGGAATATGTAGGGAGTAGATTATGTAGGATTTAATTGACTGAAATTCAGATTTTCAGGGTAAAGAATATGGTATTTTCTTAATCAGTGTTTTCCCAATATCTAGTCATGGCCTACTCACATTTGGTGGAAGAATTACTTAATCCAAAATAATGCAACTCACTTTTATGCAGAATAGAGAAATAATAATACCTCTTCCATATTCCTCACGTGTAAAATGAGAATCATTGCCATTATAGCAAATATTCAATGAGGAAATGCACATCAGCTTTTTAATCTGTGCTCAGCATGGGAGTGCATTTTTGGTGAAAGGGAGTTCTATGTATTTCCAGACCTCAAGTAATTCTGAATTTCATGTACAGTGTAGGGAGTGTAGATGGCAATGATGTCATCTTTTGAGTTTGGGGTTCTTGGGTTCACTCTGAGAAAGATTTCACCAGACCTCCCCTTTCATCGGCACAAGGCAAGATTCTTCATGAGACAGAGACTCAGTTATTTTTATTTTTTAAAAGATTTATTTATTTGTACATACAGAACTGGGGTACAGGCCAGAGGCTCAGGGGCGGTGAGAGGCTTCACCAGAGACAGAGTGGGGAGCAGAACAGACAGATCGACGAAGTACACTGCTGAGGGGAGCTGCGGGCGGGTCAGGAGAGGTCTGCCACGCCATGTGGTCACCACCAGGGCAGGTGGAATCGAACTCATGCGGAAGTGGCTTTAGCTTCTCAGTGCTGTGCTCTAACCCGCTGCGCCACCAGGGAGGGCCCAAGACTCATTTTTAAAGAGGAAGTTTATTAGAAAGAGACGGGAGAGGGGAAGACACTTGGTTAGGTGCAAATGGGCAAGAAGAGCTGCCCTGAAAGGGACAGGTTTGCAGGGAAAGAGGCCTGCATGGTTGCAGGCAGGCAGTCTTAGGAAGAGGCTTCCTCTGAGGGAGGTCAGTACAGAGAGGTCACTGCATGGTACAGGTCACGGGCAGGCAGGAGGCTGCTGCCTCACTGGGCAGCCCCCTGCTGCCCCGTGCTGGTGGAGAGACTGTCCCGATATAGACAGCTTCTCTTTGGGAGGGGCTCACTCCTTGTGACTTTGAATAGAATCTGAGAGGATAGTGATTCCTTAGTGAGCTTCATCTCCATATCCATGTCCTTGTCTTTATCTGGGCACCAGGCATCCTGGCTTTGGTGCCCTGATTCTATGGCTGTGTCAACTGCGGCATTTGATCCTTTTACCCATCCCTGCACCGGCCCCGTGTGACTCAGTCTTGTGATGCCTCTCCTGCATTCTTTCCTCCATCAGCAATGTCTACTATGTCATGTGGAAGTCATTACTAGGGTCTCCCTGGTGGCACAACGGATTTAAGCGCTGCACTATGAGGCTATCCACAGCCACTGCAGCAAGGAGGGGACCCAGATGGCGCAGCAGACCTCTCCTGTCCTGCCCGCTTCTCCCTTCAGCAGTGTATTTCAGTCAATCTGCCTGTTATACTCTTCACTGTCCCTGGTGAATCCTCTCACCCCCACCCCCACACCTCTGGCCTGCATCCCAGTTCTTGTATACATAAATAAACTCTTTTTTAAAAAAGAAGTCGTCATTTGTTGGTGGCGCGGTTGCACCCAGCTCTCGGGACTCCCGAGGAATGCGCCCACCGCTGTGCTACCATGGCAACAGATGGTTGAACCGATAAGGTGGACGCAGATTTGTGGTCATCCTATCTAACAGCCTGAGGCGCCATAAAGGGAGTGCCAACACCTGCGCAATAAAGGGAGTACCGACATCTGGCAATAAAGGGAGTACCGACATCTGGCGAGGTGTGATAAGAGAAATTCCTCACTTCCCCCATACCTCCTTCTCAGTAAATTTCCACTCTTCTCCCCCAAACTTCAACCCTTGCTGCCTAATGATATATAAAGGGGGGTCATGGACAATAAAGAGAGAGACTCCTGGATGAAGAACCTCGGCGTCCTGTGTTTTCTTTAACCTCATCGTCCCTCGCCGGACTCGGCTCCGATCAGCCGGACGAGGCAGTCATTTGCCTGGGATAACCCCATCGGTGTATATTTCCCAGCATTGGGAAGGACAAAAACTTGAGCAGGGGCCCTCCCTGGTGGCGAAAGGGGCTAAAGCACAGAACTGTAAAGCTATACAGCATGAGTTTCCCCAGCCAGGGAAGTGACCCACATGGCCTGGAAGACCTCTCCAGTCCTCCCCGCTGTTCCCCTCAGAAGTGTATTTCAGTCGGGTCTGCCTGTTGGGCTCCCCACTCTGTCTCTGATGAATCCTCTCACCCCCGCCCCCACCTCTGGCTTGTACCCCAGTTCTTGTATGCATAAATAAAAAAATCTTAAAAAAGAAAATCCTCAGTGGTCCAGAAGGGCTTGGTTCCAACAACCTACCACGAGATGGCGCCCCGCCCCCAGCGCCCCTCCTCCTTAGCCCGGCCCACACCGATTTAGCTCCGCCCACAACCCCGCCTCCTCGCGCTTATTCTCGCGTCCAGATCCGCGCTTGCGCGGTTGGTTCTCTTTTCTGGTCTGGAGTCCGTATTCTTCACCGCAGGCTCCCTACAAATTCCCTCCAGCTCCCCCATGTGGAGCAGACGGCAGGGCCTGCTCAGGCCCGTAGGCTGCGGAGTGGAGGAACTAAGGCGTCGCCGGAGAGAGCGGGAAGCAGGTGCGGGCGGGCGAGAGGGCACTGGAGAATGGGGGTACGGCGGTCGGAGGAAGGGTGAGGCCTCCGGGTGGGGGACCGGGTTCTGGGTCCTAGGTGCCTCTCCAACGCTCAGCTGACTCCTTTGCCACCAGCTCTGCGGAAAGCGCGGAGGGAGCAGCTGCTGGTCAGCAAGAGGTTGCTGAGAGATGACGTCCTGGAGGAAGCTGAAGGGGAGAGTGTGACAGTGATCCTCGAGGAAGCAGAGGTGAGGGGGGAGAGGCCTTTATGAGCTCGACATAAAATTTCTTCCCGCCCCCAAATCTGAACGCTGCCTCTTCCCCAGAGTCGCCCATCCAGGGGGTGGAACAGTAAATGGGGAGCATCCCCGTGACCGTCCTGCATCTCCACATCGATACATCAAGTCTTTGCTGCCCCTTCCCTCCCCACCTTTTTTTTTTTTTTTTT